ATGAAACTGTAATTTATAAATAATGACATTATGATCTAAAGGGTATCAAAATTTACAAAAATAAAGCTTATATTTATTCTTTACTTTATTAAACATTATTTGAACGCCACATGCGTAAAGCATACATTATGCATAGCCGAAATTAGAAAATTGCAACCAGAAAACTATTTGTTTGTATTGTGATATTATAATACGAGGAATTGATTAATCATATCAAAGACGAGTACATCGAGATGAAATACTACATTTAGTAAGGAATTATAAGCCGAATAAAATAAAAACATCTGCCCTGAAGATAACGATAGTGATCCAATAAAACAAAGTTAAAAAAACTTTAAAATAAAACAAAAGTCCACATAAGAAGCCAGCACAGATATTTAAAGTCAGTAGTCATGCAATGTCAAAACATTCTTTGTTTTCCCTCTTCATATGGAAATTAAAATCTGATTCAGAATTTTAAGACATAATTTAAACACATACAATATGACATTACAGTTTGGTGAACGTTTTCATACACAAGATTCTTACCCAAACCAGAAAAAACATTTTATGTTATTTAAAATTAATGTCTTTTGCTTACAATGTATTTCTGATAAGCTCCTGAAAAATGCAGGCAAAGTCATCTTTTGATAATGTATGAAGAACCCTTGATACAAAGCTTTGAATGTCTGGCATATACAAAAACTGTTCTTTTTTAATGCTCATTTTCAGGTGTAGTAATACAGAGAAATCTGCTGGAGCAAGATCAGGCAAGCATGACAGATGATCAAGGACTGCAACTCCTCTACAGGCCATAAGCTATTATCTGACAACGGTTGAATATTATCATGGAGAACAAACCACATGCTCACCTCACTGTATTCTGGATGTAAATGACAGGCCTTCTGCAATAAAATCGCCAGCACATCCTTGTGCATGTAAGCATTCATTGTTGCTCTTTCTGACTAACATTATCTTCATTTCTTCAATGTTTTTGTCCCTAGGAGACTTCTTACTCCAACCATTTCGAGCAATGTCTTCTACGAAATCCGACCTATCCCCAAAACATTTCAATAATCATTAAGTGCTCTTTAAGAATACAGCTTCATCTTTATAAACATGCTTCAGCATGTAATGGCTTTGATTTGGAGCTTTTCCAAACTTGAAATACAACTTTTAATTCATCTGATGCTCCATTTAACAGCCACCTTTGAATGTTAAAAATGGCTTTAACAAAATCCATATTACTCATTCCTAAGTTACATTTATACATTTTCAAACACTTTATGAAGTACCTTTTCAATGCTTCATGATTTGCTTTTTATAGTGCATGCACATACAATGATGTCATTTACTAAACTTTATTGTCATACCTTGAATTAAGTATTTTTGGAGTGGCTATAACAGCAATTCAACAGTATTTAAAAAGAAAAAGAAGGGGGAAGATGAACAAACTTTTCCACAATTATAAATGCTTATGTAAATGAAATGAGCCCATTTCAAGCATGGCATTCTAACAATTTCAATTTACGCTCCACAATTTCTTTGATGGGAAACGCAATTAAAAGTTTTCCATTTTGCACAGTATTTGCAAGAAGTTACATTTGAGGTTCAATAAGTGTCCAATGAAAATCAAATACACACATGAATAACGCAACTCAAGAAGCTTTCATTATTCTTTTCCATGAAAGCAGGAATTCTGAAAGTGACTGACTCATACTACTTTTTTTTTAATTCAGCAAAGATCACATGGTACAGTTATTAAGTCATACTTGCAGAGTAGCATTCAATAGCTTCAAAAAATTAAATATATCTTGAATAACTTGCTTGACAAATATGGTTCTAGTTAAGAAATGAATCAAATAAGGAAGGCCTTAAAATTCCCACAGTTCTGGACTTAAGGCTCTTTTAAGAAAAATACACTAAACTTAAATGGCCTCCTCCAGAATAACTATCATTAAGAAAATTATTCACCACTGCTAAATAAGTTAAAAAAATAAAATAGCGTCCTTTTAAGCAAAATTTCATTTATTAAAACTTCTTGGGACTGTTATAAATACTATTCAAAATCACTATGCATACTAAGTTTACGAATGTGAATTTTTAAAAATGTATCTTATACGTTAGGAAAACATTAATTTACAGAAGCACTGATTTCAAGTTTCCATTTATAAAAAAGTTGAAATTCAGAATTTTGTATTAAAGAAATTTTATTTTACTTTATCCATAAAACTGCCATTCTTTCATTTGGTCATCCAAACCAATAATATTTTATTATTGGTTTTCATATAATTCTTACAATTTCTTCTTTCCAAGAATAATTTTGTACATTACAACAGCCTTCCCAATATTATCTTTAGAATAATAAGAAACAAGCTACTCACTGAAAGTAAAAATTTTAATAACAAGTTATATAAAAATTTTTGCACACTTTTACTAAAAGGGGCCAGATGATCAAAATTGTCAGAGTTTGAAGAAATTTATTATTATTATTGATGTCTTCAAATGGAGTCACAGGTTAACAATCAATTATTAACCTATATATAACGTGACTATTAAAGGAAGCAACCTACATCAAATTTGCATAATACTGATCTTTCAAAAAATCTCACAACATTATATAATGAACTTAAAAAGAACATGAGAATTCCTGAATTCACTTATTTACAAGATACTGGCCAATTAAGGAATATCTATGCACCATTTCTGGTCTCTTTTTGGATAGCATGTAACAAAATTAGCCTGCAAAAGCTTCCTGTAAATATCATATTAAATTTTATTACAACTAAAAATACCAACACGGAAAATTTACAATACACATAACAAATAACTTGGCAATATACAAACATGTAAATCTAGACACATTTTAAGAGTACATATATGATATCTGATGAAATAAAAATCATTATTCTATTAAAGTATCTCTCCGCTATCACAAATTCAAGTTCAGCATTCAAATTTGGTGTAAAATGGTTTAAAACTGATTTTCCCTAGACTCAGCCAACTTTTAAGATATTGCTGATGCCACCGAAAAAATATCAAATGATTTTTTCACGTTCTCACAAAGCTCAGTCATTTTGAGCAATAATTCATACTAGAATATTTATTAATAATATTTACTGATAGTATTTACTATTCAAATACTTTGTTATTAGAATTATATTTAACAGGAAGCCAAACTTTGCACTTGAGAAATTTCCATTCATTGGATACACTAATTATTAGCTCAAGGACCTTGGATGCAAGGTTTGAAAACAGTCATATTTTAAAGGGAACGTTTTTCTTAGCCATTGATTTATTCATAAAGTCAAATGCCATTGACCTAATAAACCTTCAAAATATTTTATATTAAAGAAGATAATATGCATATAGATACTGTAATACCACAGAGTGCAGAGGGAAAATATTAAACATCAAATGTTACTGAAAAATATCTTATGAAATTTATGTTTATGGCACCCCCCCAGATAACAATGAAGTTATAAAATTCTGTGTAGTGTCTACAAGAGACACTGATTCAAATTGCAAAATGAAATTTTAAAAAGTATATTTTTTGTTGCTATTTTGTTAATTTATCATATATACATGCAAAAGGTCTCAAAAGTTCAGAGACTTGTTTTACAACTAATTATTATGAACAGCTTAAAATGACAGCACGCAACCACTTTCAAAATCATCTTTTGTATGATTACATATTTTTGTCAGCAGTTACCCAGCTTCTGAATAAACTTGCTGTAAACCATTCTTTGCAATCATGTACAACCTCTCCTTTGAAGATGCACATATAGCTCATTTATGAATCTCTGAAAATTGCTTTATCATCAATAAAAAAAGCTAAAATTACTGAGAATTGGCACATATTATTTCTGGCAAGGCACTCTATCATTAACAATAAAAGTGGACTTAGTGCCACAAAGAAGGCGCTATAGTCTACTTCACCATATCTTAGGTCATTTTAAAACAAATACCACCACATCTTAAATTATTGTAAACAAATAAAGCTAGATGTATTTCTAACTGCATAATGTCAGACTGCTTGTGTTGCCACAGGCAGGCATATCTACAAATGTATGGATCATAATTACGGACATAACTTCAAATATTTCTAACATCTGAAATTTAAGTCAAATCTAATTGAAGCCATAAATAATTGCATTTCATACATAAACAATTCTGATCACAGATATAAAAAGTAGGTAAATTTTTTAAATGGTACTTTGGTGTTATTGTAACCACCTTGGTGTTTGCCAACCATGCACAAAACAATTCTTCATGTAACCATATCGATAACTGTAAGTTTGAATAAGCAACATCACCCGTTTTTGTACATGCTGATTTAGTTGTATTAAAAGCATTAAAGGTGAATTGCGATATTTCTGGTGTTCAGCTGAATTTCGAAATATGTGCTTGTGAGATTTGCCTGCAAATGAAGAGAGTTCTGTAAAATTTTTGCAGGAATATAATATTTAGCCACAAAGGCGGTTTGAATTCACAATTGATTCTGGAATACAACCTTTTTGGAAATGTAACATGAAAAAGATGTAATGAACGTGAATGAATTGAAGTGGTAACTGGTTCAAGAATAGTCATCTCTATTTACTATAGCAGTCAGATTTATATACTGTTGGAGTATAGAATTAAGAAGTTTTGTTTGGAAGAGTTAGAAATGTCCATTAAGAGCAAAGAATAATAACATGCAGGAGATAACATTTGTAAATAGTTTTACAAAATTTTCGAGATAAATATGTACCTAATAGCATGTATAATATTAAATAAAAAACGTTTTCCAATTTGAAATAACCATTCTTTTTCTTCTTCAAAAAACTGCCAAACTGCCAAGGTGGTTGCGAAAATACCAAAGTACCTTCTAAATACTGCATGTTACGTAAAAATTTATTGCAGAAAAATTATAAATGAACAACAGAAAGCTTATATTAAATATACAAAATAACATTTTAAAAATAACTATAAAAATTTTTTTTGAAGATCAAAAGAAAAACCTCAATCAAATATTTCAATACCATTCCATTTGCTTTGCCCCCTTCCAAAATTAATTTTTCATTTTCTTCTTCAGCTGTCTGGACAATTTTTACAGCACACTGCGTTGTCAGCATATTCCACAAACCATCTGATGCAAAAATTACACATCGATGCATTCGAGGATTAATATTGATTACATCAACATCTGGATCTGGGCTTACTACAAATTCATGCCGTAGGTAGTTATAACTCCATAAATCACCTACATAAAATATTTCTAATATGACTACTGCAGAGAAAATAATTTTAAAAAATTCATTAATGCAAACAATTATTTTAAAAAAAGAAACCTAACATGTAAAAATAAATAATACTGAGATTTTACTACATAAAAGAATTAATGGTCCAAAAACTAAAATAAACCAACATGCAAAAAATAAATATATATTGAAAGCTCAATGTATTTTAAATCCTTTACCTTCCACAAATTTCACATTGAAAGTAATTAAATATGACTTTGAAATTCCTAAAATCAGGAATGTGTTAAAATTTTGGACTTTTAAGTCCTATCACATTAAACAACCAAGTATTTATTAACCAAGCAAATATTGCCACTCCAAGTGATATAAGATCTTTAAAGTTTACCTTTTAGGCAGTCTCAGAAATAATCAATTCTCAGAGTAGCATTTGGCACTCCAATAAAGCCATTAACTTCCAAGCATCTAATGTGGTAACATGCTTAATAATATGTGATTTAAAAGCAATAAACTTATGAGTGAAGATCATTAAGTAAGTCACAAACTGACAAGCATAACTTACTAGTTATTACTTTCTAGAGAGACATCCAAGTTCATGATATTCTTTTCCTTAGTAACTAAGTACCAGTTACACATGCATAGTTCAGTTTGAAATGGATATGGAACTCGATGAATTTATATTACGCTGTTTTTTAGGGGGCTGGAGGGAGGGGCACAAAAGGACTTCATGTGAAAGCTAATCATAAAGGAATGTTTCCAGTGTTTGTCACATAAAGCCATGCACAAGTGAATCTAGAAATTTTCTTAATGTCGCTCCAAAATTTCTGATAAAAACCGAAGTGAATGTTCCATTCAAGCTAAAGCAAACTCAACAGAAGGCAGGATGGCAAATCTTTGCAGATAAAGAGCTAATGTTACTGAAACAGCAACCCAATGAATTTTATGCAGTTGAGTTACTGAAGCACTGATAAAATGATTAGACAAATGTATAAATAATGAGGAAGATCATGTTGAGAAACAAAAAAGTTTTCAGGTGAGTATCTTGTTAGGAAAAAATAAACAGAACCATAATCTCTTTGATTAGGTTCTTTTCAAACAAAGTTTATTTGCAGCAGCAACAGAATCCAAAATTTTCAGAATATTTCCCACATTACTTCAGGTTAGCTGCCTGGAACTGATTGGGGGGGGGGAAGAAAGAAACAGCATATGGCTAAAGAAATTCTGAGCTATTTTTCTCCCTTGTATTGTAGATAAGATATGTGGGATATGAACTATGTGGAACCGTGATACAGTACAGAGCAGACAGTCTTCACAGTGAAATGTTATTACAGTAACAGAAACTCCATTGTTCATGTAGTTTAATGAGCAAGATGGATCGTGCAAAAATGCAGAGGAAAATTAGGCATAAGTTTGAATCTACTGGTAGTTTTTGTGAGGGAAGAAAAGGCGGATGATGATGAAAAACAATCAGAACTCCAGGGAGAACACTAGTACAGTCAAAAGTCGTTAATCCGGACTCGTCGGGACTTCGGCGATTCCGGATTATAGATCATCAGTTTAAATCTCGTAAGATGGCATGCAGAAATTCTAAAATTAAAAATATGAAACCGTAATTTATGAAATAAAGAACAATTATGATCTAAAGGGTATCAAAATTTGCAAAAAGAAAAAGCTTAATATTTATTTGTTTACTTTATTAAACATTTCTTTCAATGTAAGTTTGTTTAAGTTTTGCTTCGTTTCATGTGATAATACTTTCTCTTTAATTCTATTAAACAGACATAATTTCTTGTTCAGTTACAAAGTTCCGCTGTTCAAGTCCTATAATTGCTGTGTCAAGAACACCGACTAATTTGTCAATCGAAATTTTTTCGTTTTCAACAACCTCTGTTACTTTTCTTCGCTATCGGAAGCGAATTATAATGATGAGGAACTTCAAAATCGTAAAAAACAACCTTATATTTAGCGTAGGTATAATGAAACACTCAATCGATTTCGAGGGCAGTTAAAGGTCCCTCCTCATCAGGAGAAAGAAATACATAGAAAGAAGAAAATAGGAATCACAGAAACACGTGGTGCTTATCAGCACTGCACGTGGATATAACTAGATTTTTAATCAGAGTTGCACTGGCCGCCTACTTTTACTGAGCCAGGCTGTCTGATCAAGCATAAAGAAATATTAGCGAAGTTAAAATAGGGAGCGAGGGGCAAATGCACATTACGCTCAATCAAAATCTGAACTTCAAATAATGGAAAGCAACCACTGAACGGATTTTTATACCCTCTGGTAGTACCAAGTGCGAGGAGGTAACGCCATCTATCGGCAAAAATAATTGAATTAAGACAGTAGAATTTTAAAGGCATTAGGAAGGACTGGATTGGACTTCAAATCATTAACTAAACCTGCTAAATCTTTGTGAATGTGAAAAGCCTCAAGAAAATCCAATTCACCTATGGAAGAAGCCTTTTGGATAATTTTTGATAGATTTGATAAATCCAAAATCAAAATTATGGTTAAAAGTCCAACTATGATACGCTATTGAAGACTTGTTAATTTCGCCTTTTCTGACATAAGATTCGTGTTCCTTGATACGTTTTCCAAACGCTCTTTTCGTTTGGCCGATATATCTTAACCCTTTAACTGCTTAAGACGTGTTTAAACGTTTTTGGAATTTTGGAAACTTTCTAAATCTTTGTGAATGTGAAAAGCCTCAAGGAACTTGTTTTAAATCATATCAAAGACGGAGCATATCGAGATGAAATACTACATTTGGTAAGGAATTATAAGCCAAATAAAAACATCTGCGCAAGATAAGGATAGTGCTGACAAATCAACTTCCAATTCATTACGCGCGGCGTTCCCCCCGCCGAGCAGCGTGAAATTGATAAACAGATTTCGGATTTCAAAACATACTTTTGCTTTAGATCCTTTACATGTTAACAAATATATATCGGAAATTCTATTTGATATAATCGAAAGTTTTTAAGCTTACTTACTTTATAAAATTGCTCTTACAGTCTGCAAAAAATAATAAGCCGGATCCAATTCGAAAATTAAGGAACAACGCAATCATCAACATTAACTGAAATAGATAATTTTAGCTTATACGTCCATTATACATAAAACGCGCACGCGAAAACGTATTCTGCACTTGCGCACACTCATATGCGCAGTCGTAAAAGGTCTTACGCGCACACGTAAACGCCTATGCGCATGTGTCAACGCGGCGCATGCGCAGAAAGTTTTTAGTTTTGAGGTCCGGATTATAGATCATTCCGAATTATGGGTGTCCGAATTAACGACTTTTGACTGTACTGTTATGAAGTCCCCAAAATAGTTTACAAATACTTTCACAATAGATGGTCATATTTTACAATAGAAAAATCTACTGTAGTGATCTATCAATATATCCAGGCAAAATACAGCTCTAAACCTTTGCTACCTAACATTAAAAACCAATGCTACCTGACATTAAAAACCAAACAGCTGGAATTTGCAACTGCTTTTAGACAATTTTTGAAAAACGACCCTGATGTGTTGGACAAACTATGGTTTTCAGATGAAGCTTACTTCTATTTAAACGGATATATTAATAAACAAAATTTGCACTTTTTGTTATAGCAAAATCTACATGATAGTAGTTTAACCTTTATATTACAAAGAGGTTATCATGAGGCATGGAATGTCTTCTGTTGGCATTTTTGGTCCAATGTTCCTAGGTGAAAACATCTCAAGTGAAGTGCATCTGAGGATTCACTGAGAAGAATTTGTTTTGGTTTAGAATCATTGATGATCTTTCCACTTGCAAGTTTTTATAAGATGATGCAGAACCTCAATTATCTTCATGAGATATTTGATAAATGTATGTTTTCTAATAATTATCTCCTACTGCACGGGAAGGCATTTGAATAGTCACCAACGCCACCAATACGACTCCATGTGACTATTATCTTTGTGTTTCCTTGAAAAAGAGTGTTCAAGACGAAACCTACAACAATTCATGAAATGAAATAGGCCAGACAGGCAGAAATTTTCAACAATTCTGGTGACCCATTATTCATAGTGATGCACTTTTTCACTCAAGTTACACCATGTGCATGCCAAGCAAGAATACATTGTGCTTTCAACTTCAATGTCTAGAGATCATTCCTCAGTAGTAAGAATGTCTTGCGACCAGTCATTTGTAAATCATTTATAATTCTAGTGGTTCTATGTATTTAAAATTACCCTGTACATAGTAGTAACAGAATGCTGCTAAACTATTCTTAAATTCCCTCTCTATTAAAACAGTTGGCGCATCGCGCAGCAGCACCACAGGTCCGGGGTTCAATTATCGGGCTGGGCAAGGTCGACTCAGCCATTCGTCCCTTGATTCCCATCACTTGGGTCGATAAAATGAGTACCAAGTTCACTTGATTACTAAACACTGGCAGTCCTGCAACAAGATGACCACTTGTTCAAGGCATATGCTTACGTACCCCGGAGCCCACGGTCAAGAAAGCACATTTTCGGGCACTGCAGGCCATGGCCCATTAGGGCTGTTATGCCACTGAGTTTAGTTTTTATTAAAACAGTACAAAATACAACTAAATTCTTTAAATAGAAGCAAATTCAGGGTATCGATTAATATTCAACTTGTAGTTTATCTAATTTTCTGTCAAGTTAAACAACTTCATGTTAAACTAATTAACAAATTTAGTACCTGAATAATCTTACAAATTTGCAATTAAAGGTATCTTCGGTACTCTCCTGTTATTGGGACCAGATTCAGAAGTATGTGTGCTTATATGTGTGTGTATACATACACATAAATTCATATGTACAATATATATATATATAATTTATTTCCTAAACAGTATTGATTAATTGATTATATTTGATATATATATATATATATATATATATATATATATATATGCCTACATGAGCACATCCATACATGCATACGCACATTTCTGAATCCAGTCCCGAAACAGAACCATATTTTCATTATTAATAAAAAATTAATTCACCTTATCAAAACCTTACTGTAAAACAAATGAAAGAAACAAATATAAAATATGCATATAAACTATTAAAAATACAAAAGGTTTTAAAAAATTGTTCATTCTGTAAAAGAAGAAATTTATAACAGTACATCATTCATAATCAAAATCATTTATATGGTGTTTCTAAATATGGCTAAGCAGCTAAGAATTGCACTCAAGTCAAAAAGATAAATAAATAGCATATTTATTTATTTTAAATTAGCAGACAATACGATTACATCTAAACTGCTCTATTTGTTTTTAAGAAGAAATTTATAACAGTACATCATTCATAATCAAAATCATTTATATGGTGTTTCTAAATATGGCTAAGCAGCTAAGAATTGCACTCAAGTCAAAAAGATAAATAAATAGCATATTTATTTATTTTAAATTAGCAGACAATACGATTACATCTAAACTGCTCTATTTGTTTTTAAAGTACAATTATACTTCTAAGGAAAGGAGAAATAGAACAGTTAGTTACACTTAAAAAAAGAATAAAAAGAAAGATTAAGAATATACTTGGACATGAATAATCAGTAATATCAAAGATGTTATTTGATACCATACCTAAAGATCGTGCAACAGCCAAAAAAGGAATCTGATCAAAAGGTGTACTTCTTCGAATTGGACCTTTATGACCAGGACGAGGACGATTCCAAACAACTCTTTCTACACCAGCTTTATTCATTACTAATCCACCAACACTTTTGATTCGCTGCTTCTCTTCTGGCGTTTCAGGTTTATGATCTTTTGTCACAGCATATGCACACCAATCACTTGAACCTGAAATATTAAAAAAAGTCAATATTTTACAACAGGCAAATATAAAGGACAATTCATCTAAGTGCGTACAAATTTATTTGAAAGAAAGCTACTCAAAGCCAAATCAAAATTACTGTAATATAGGCCTGGAAACTGTCTTCATATGTTAATGTACAGAGATGATGAAAAATAAAAGAGCAACATATAAGAGAAAAATGCGTTTTACTGCACAACACTGTTATGAAATGCACTTGACATTAAAAGTTATTCAAAGCTGTAACCATACGCTGTAACGGAAGGTTCACATGATGGCTTTTCAAATCTGTTGCTAGACAAACCAGCCTTTGCTATGTCACAATAAGTATAAAGATTTTGCCTAAAGATCCTACTTTTCAACTTTAAGCTAAGGTGGCATAAGAAATAATCAATCGTAGCAAAGCAAAGATGCTAACCACATTCAAAGATATGCAAATTACCTTCCCTGATTGATAGCAAATTAGAACTTTTAATCTGTAATCAATCAAGGCCAAGTTAAATACTTATAATTTCTAATTCAGAAATCAAACAACAAAAATCAGCGTTATATTTTCAAAATTTTCACAGTACTAGTTTCGATGGTTTTACCGAACTACCATCCTCAGCTGCAAAACCGCAAATGAACAAGATAGGAAATAATGATTAGATAAGGTAAGAAAGCCCGGACAGGAATTAGCAAGTGGCGCCATCTGTTGATGAAACCAGGACTAAAACATAATTTCTTTAAAGGCTGAAGGCAAAGATGGATTGGAATTAGGATCGTTAACTAGAACAGAATTTTTTTAATGTGAAATGCTTCTAGAAAATCCAATTCTCCAATGGAAGATGTTTTTTGAATAATTTTGGCAGCAGAAAAATTGAAAGTGTGATTTCGGACCAACAATGTTGAGCAACAGAAGACTTCTGTGTTTCCTTTTTTCTAACATATGCCTCATGTTCCTTGACGCGAAATTTTAAGGCTCTCTTAGTTTGGCCAATGTAAATTAAACCACACTGGCAAGGAATCCTATAAATACCCCAGGAATTCATATCCGGAATGGGGTCCTTGAGTATGGAACTCAGAATTTTATTGATGGAAGAATATACAACCTGAAAGTTAAATTTCTGCAAAATATGTGCAACTTTATAGCTAATTGATGGAAAGAAGGAAATGACAACAGAATTTTTATAATCTCCTAAAACAAGAGTGTGCCTTTTAGTGTGTTGAGATGAGAATTTTGTAACTGCTTGATTAGCCCAACATTATTAATTTAATTTTAGAATAATAATGAAAATGTCGTAGAAATACTGCAATACTGATGGCGATGAACATTACCGATCCATAATGAAGAGGAAACTCAGCAGTCGAGGCACATTAAATGTTCATCTTTATTTCAGCTGATATTTGCAACCACTTTTCACTTGGTACTCTAATCCTGCTTATTCACGAACATTTATGTTTTTTATACTATTGTGACAGGAAGAAAACCAGCACACTAGCATTTAATGGCAAGAGTTAGTTAGAAGCAAAAATGGGCAGTTGTACAATATGGAAGCTCAGCAAAAGAAAGTTTCGGTTCTCGAAATTTTGAGTTCAAGTTCCGAATGAACTACGTCATCAGCATTATACAAGTCATATGACATGGATTCATCTAGAAATAATGCAGTTCAAAAGAAGTAACTACTATTTTTAGAATACAGAGAGGAAATACCAAGAGGCTGTTGCTAATTTAAATTGTAATTTTGATTTACACATTTATTAATCTTACATATACATGTATCCATATGTATATGTTAAACTTACTGCTGAAAATTAAAACATTAATTTTAAATGGCATAATTAATTTTTCTTTAATTTTATGCAATTAAATGCAGCATAGCTGGATTAAAAATAAGAATATTCAATTTTAATATTTTTTCTACTACAGATGTTTAAAAAAAACCTACTGTTTTATTACTTTTAAATTAAAATTTTTATAAACCTTATTCCATTTCACCAACACAAATAAAATCATAAATTTTCATTTTTAAAACACAGCAGACATAAAAATAAACAAGCTAAAATGTTGATTAAAAAAAAAACAGAGCTGAACAGCAAATATATTAAATAAATAACTATACCTGGTAACTGAAATCCAAGAACTATTTTAGAATCTCCCACATGACCAATGTAAAGCTTTCTCCTACGTATGAATGCTATACTTGAAGTTGTTCCAGACGTACTTGGTAGTCCACTAACAGTTTTTGGCCAGTTACCTATAAAAAGAAAAATAAATAATATTTAAAATTATGATAATTTTAAGACACGAAATTGCACAAATAATGTATCAAAGCTAATAAGATTTCAGTTCCATACAATTATAAATAATGATTTCATTTAGAATAAATAATAAAAGTATTTTCTGATTACCCAAACTTCCCGTTTCAACATTCAACAGAACTGCCATGTTTTGGCACATTTTTGAGTTTATAGAAAGTCTACTCACACAATGCACGCATTAGAATGTACTTGAATTTATAGGCTTTACATTTAACAGTCATTTATCTGAATATCATTCATCGGCTGTAAAAGAATAAATATCGGCCAAAAAATGTTTCTTTTTAACTTTAAATTTTTGGTTTTTCATAAAAAGCTTCTTTTAACTGTTATTCACAAAGAGACCTATCAGCATTAAAATAAGCAAAAATTTTCAAGTCACAAAGTTGCCAATGAGTTAGCAACTTTTTGCAGGAATGCAGGTAATCAAAAAGTATTAGAATAAATAATATTAAAAAAAATTTCTAAGTTTCACAAAATATGAAATTAAAAAAAAAAAAAAAAAAAAAAAAAAAAATTTACATTATGTTCAAAGGGGCACATTTTTCATGTTTTGTGTGTTATTTATTTATTAAATATCAAGTTCTTTGCATTTAAACCATAAAATACAGTTCAATAGCAATGTCACAAAATAATTTTAAAACGGGCATATCTTTAGAATTTCCGATACACAGCTCCTCGCGCTGCAGATAAAAAAGCTGCCCCCCCAATAGAGTGTTGCCATTGCTTGCTTTGAAATCCTTGAGTTTGTTAATCAAAAATTCGTTAAAGTTTTACAAAATATGAAATCGATAATAAAACAAATTTCAAATTTACTCTTTCACATACCCATAATCATAGGAGGATTACGTCATTCAAAATTCGATGGCTCTATGTACCATCGTTTTACCACAATGCGAGAAATACACATACATTTTTGCAGATTTTTCATTACTTAATTTCTTTAAATATAATGCAGGACTCTAACATTTGGTGGCAACAGTTTGAAAAGTGAAATGGACATTTATAGTGATTCAACGCAAAATGAAAACAATAGTCCTTCAGGGACAAAGCCCCTTTGGACTAAAAAGGAAAAGTACAAATGATGGCTTAAAATCTATAAAGTATTAAAGATATATAATTTAAAATGCTACATTCACTTTAATTCATACATAACAATGCTATACAGTCAAAAGTCATTAATCCGGACACCCATAATCCGAAATGATCTATAATCCGGACCTCAAAGCTACAAACTTTCTGCACATGCGTCAACGCATAATATGTTCACGTATACGTATAGACGTTTACGCATCCACGTAATACTTTTACGCATATGCATATGCGCAATACGTTTACGCATGCATGTTTAATGTATAACGGACGGTATAAGCTAAGCTAAAATTATCTAATTATCTATTTCAGTTAATGTTGCAGATTGCGTTGTTCCTTAATTTTCGAATTGGATCCAGCTTATTATTTTTTGCAGACTGTTAGAGCAATTTTATAAAAGTAAGTTTGAACTTTCGATTATGTCAAATAGAATTTCCGATGCTGGAGCTGCAAAAGGATCTACAAAGCGAAAGTATGTTTCGATGTCCATCAAACAAAAAGTGGAATTGCTGCAAAAAATGGATAAAGGCATATCCTTTGTTTCTTTAACCCTTCCGAAATCTGTTTATCAATTTCACGCAGCTCTGCAAGGGGGGGAAAGGGGAACGTCACGGCGCGCAATGAACTGGAAGTTGATCTGTCAGCACTATCCTTATCTTCAGAGTAGATGTTTTTATTTTATTTGTCTTATAATTCCTTACTAAATGTAGTATTTCATCTCGATGTACTCCGTCTTTGATATGATTTAAATAAAATTCCTCGTCATTATAAATATCACGAATACACATCAAATAGTTTTTTGGTTGCAATTTTCTAATTTCGACTGCGTAATGTATGCTTTATGCATGCGCGCGTTGAAAGAAATGTTTAATAAAGTAAACAAATAAATATTAAGCTTTTTCTTTGTAAATTTTGATACCCTTTAGATCATAATTACTCTTTATTTCATAAATTACGGTTTCATATTTTTAATTTTATAATTTCTGCATGCCATCTTACCAGATTTAATCTGATGATCCGGAATTGGCGAAGTCCCGACGAGTTCGGATTCAAGACTTTTGACTGTATATATATACTAAGAATAAAGAATTTTTAAACCTTTAAGCACAGTGGGTTTTTTTCTTATAAACTTACTGATGAACAGTTGTATTTTACTAATATTTATTAGCCAAATTTGTGACCTTAATGTTTGCTTTTTTAACTTCCCACTTCTTAAGATAATATTTATCACATTAAAGAAAAATAAAAAACAAACTATTTTAAATAACAAACTGATATATACTAAGCCATCAAAAATTTCACAACTAGATAAAAGCAGTCCTGTCACTCAGAAGAATTAAGTATCTGCATCAAATGAATTTCTTGGATTTCCTTAAAATAGCTATTTCAATTTTATATTATAACTTACTTAAAATTGTTATTTAAGGATTTCTTTTAATTCAATTAGTTTTTATAGTACTAACTTTCTCAGTCGAGAAGATAAAATATTAAAAAGTTAATTACCAGAATGGTTAAATAAAATTCGGCAATTTCATCACATAACTTTCTTTAAACACAATCCAAATATTATGTAACTGCATCCGAACTATTTTAGCTTGGCATTTTAAAAATACGATTTTTATTACCTGCATCAAATGTCATTTAATCTTCTACGGATTCCGCAAGAAATTTCATTTCTAAATAAATATGTAAAAATCAATAAAAAAAATTAAAAAAAAAAAAGAACCAGGAAATAAAAAAAAAGTTTGTATAAAAAATATGCATTGTTAAATATAATGTTGACACACAGGCAATAAAGGAAACAAAGAGATTTTATAGTGCTATTATTTAGTCTTTAATATAATTTCAATCTGTAAACTTTCATTCAAAATACCCCTTTACTTTATTTAAATTATTTTTATACCAATCATTTATAAGGCATTTCAATACATCAACATAACCAAACCTGAAAATATTTATATGTATAATTAACAAAAAAATGCACTCGTACTAAATTTGGACCCATAAACACTACTGGTGTAATAAAATTATTTAAATAATATTTTATTAAGCATTTAAATAAAATGGTAGATAATTAGCATTTAAAAAACTGCAAGAACATCAAATTTTTTTCCCATTTAAAATTAAAGTATTTATCAGAGCAACAAAGAAAAAAACTGCAATATCTAATTGGTACTTTCTGATTATGTGCATTTCCATAAAAGTTACCAGTTCCCCAATACATGGTGACATTATGAATAGGTAGAAAACATTTTTGGCTATCTTTATGATTTACAGATACTGTTCTGTACAAAACGAAATAAAAATGCTCTAGATCAGTAATGCTTTATTGGTAGTATGCAAGAGAAAAATAGGTAATACACACACACAAAAAAAAAAAAAAAAAAAAAAGTATTTTTAACTAAATTCAAAAATTAATTACTAATGAACTTAATAATATTCCGTTATCAAATGATACAGTATGTCGATGAATTACCTTAAGATGTGCATATGTTTTTACACATGTGCATAATACGTTTACGAATGTGTGTTTAATGTATAACGGATGGTATAAACTAGGCTAAAATTATCTAATTATCTATTTCAGTTAATGTTGCAGATTGCATTGTTCCTTAATCTTCTAATTGGATCCGGCTTATTATGTTTTGCAGACTGTTAGAGCAATTTTATAAAAAGTAAGCTTGAACTTTCAATTATGTCAAAAAGAGTTTCCGATACTGGAGCTGCCAAAAAATCACAAAGCGAAAGCATGTTTCGATGTACCACTTCTGATAGTGAAGAAAGTTACAGAGAGGTTATTGAAAATGAAAAAATTTCGATTGACAAGTTAATCGGTATTCTCGACACACCAATTACAGGACTTGAACAGTGGAACTGAACAAGAAATTATGTCTGTTTATAGAATTAAAGAGAAAGTATTAGCACAAAAAATGAAGCAACTTAAACAACTTACATTGAAAGAAATGTTTAATAAAGTAAACAAATAAATATTAAGGTTTATTTATTTTTTTTTTTTAAATTTTGATACCCTTTAGATCATAATTGCTCTTTATTTCATAAATTACGGTTTCATATTTTTAATTTTATAATTTCTGCATGCCATCTTACCAGATTTAAATTGATGATCTATAATGCAAAAAAACCCCTAATCCGGAATCACTGAAGTCCCGACGAGTCCGGATTAAAGACTTTGTACTGTACTGATATAATGAATTTGGGTTCAATTATTAGTTTACATACATTTTGAAGAGGAAAACTAATTGCTGAGCATTCATTTTGTGAATTTCTTCATGATAGAGCAACTACAAATGAAATTTTCAAAGTAACTGACAATTTTATGTCTGAGAATGATATTCCTTGAAATAAGTGCATTGCCGTTTGCAGTCACAGACATCAGGTTTTAACACAAAAACATTCTGATGTTATTTCTCAAATAAAGAAAGTCGTGCTTGAAACTAAATTTACTCACTGCTCCATTCATTGTGAAGCTTTAGTAACTAAAACAATCCCCGAAAAACTTGAAAATCATTTTGAATCAAGCTGTAAAAATTGCTCATTTTATTGAAAGTCAAGCTTTCAATTCAAGAATATTTACGGTTTTATGCCAAGAGATGGACAGTGAACATGGAATGTTTTTGTTACATTCCAAAGTAAGATGGTTATCCAGAGGCAAAGTTTTAAACCGGCTTTTTGAATTTCAATCAGAACTCTCTGTGATTTAAAATTTGAATTGCAAAAATGTTTATTTAGTGAATTATGGTTGGCGCTGATATTTTAAGTAAGTAATGAAGTAAAATGAATTAAAATTAGGATTAAAAGGACAAAGTATTAATCTGTTTACCATTAG